ACTCAAGAGGAGATAGAAAACCAGGATAAACCTTTAACCTACAGTATGTTTAAAAAAGGAAAAGTGTAGCCCGAAGTCCCCCCTTCCCCAAAAACACGCCTACCTAGATAATCCCTATTTTATATAAGCTTGCAGAGAACAGAAAGGAAAAGCTAACCAACTTATTTTATAAAGTTAGTATAACCTTGATACCAAAATTAGAAGGATTCTACAATAAAAGGAAAGTATAGATCAAAATTTATTATCAATTGTATCAATAAAAAACACTGAAAAGAATGGGCTGCAGGCTGTATTACTGATTTACCCTGATACTAAAACCAGGGACAAACCTTCTCTGGGTGACACCTTAAAACCAGTTATTAACACACTTAATAAAACGAAAAAAATAAAAACAAGCTTTTCTAATAAGATGGACACAGGACAAAATAAAAAGCCTGAAGGACACTCGGACATTGAATCAACTGATTACGCTGTTTGTGGCCTGCCATACCACCTGCAAAGATACAAACGATTCTCCTGTCACGATCTGCTCCTCCACAATGTCCACCTGCTGCCTGACGCTGAATGATTCTTAAGTTAACTGAAACGGCACGGCCTGTACAGTCAAAGGGGCTCTCCAGCTTAACATGGCAGATCAAACACACCCTACCTCTGCTTCTTCCCAAAGCTCCTTTAAAATAACAGTAAAGGAGCAGGGGGATTAACTCACAAGAACTAAGAGAATGGAAGAGACGACAACATTTTGAAGCTAGAAAACAGATGTCCAGCTGACTTAGCAGACCAAAAAAGCTGAAAATTCTGCCAAGAGTGGAGGGGGTCCAGAAGCAAACAACTTCCAACTGAAGAATTACAGAAAGACTCAGGAATTGGTGACCCCAGGTATCACTGAAAGAGGGTAAACAGACTGAGCTGAAAACAAGTTTAAAACACCGCATTGAAAATGGGGGAATTAAGTGAAAGCCTACATGACCCTCGCCATAGCTCTCCTCAATTTGAGGCTAAGATGCCAGCCAGGCTTGTATCCTCGAGACAGGAACTGACAATCAGTAACCAGTAATTTCATTATTCTAAAATATGAGCAGACATTCAAAAACCATGACATTTCAGACAACTGTAACAGAGACAAAGACCAAAAACACACAAAAAAAGGAATTTGGAAGACAGACAAAAGGCACGAAGAAGAAAACATAATGGGAAAAAAACCATACTCTCAGTGAGAAAATAGAAGATATTACATAAACCATAAAAGAACAGGATACTATTTTAAAAAGTTCAGAGAACAAAACAGAGCTCTAAGATATGCAGTCTAACATTCGAATGAGTTCTAGAAAGTGAAAACAAAGAAGAAAGGGAAGAAAATCAAAGAACATTAAAAATATTTTTCCAAAATGGAAGGACATGAGCTTCTAGATTGAAAAAGCCCCGTGAGTATCCAGAACAAAAGATGAAAGCGACCCATTTGAAGGCATATCACTGTGAAATCTGAGACTGAGAATGAAGAGAAATCCTAAAAGCTTTCAGAACAAAAAGCAAAAACCAGATCACATAAGAGGAAACCAGCATAGCTATGGTGGTAATAGCGAAACAATCCCTTCAAAATTCTGAGGAAATTATTAATTACAACCTAGAATTCTATACCATGGCAAACATTAATCAGGAGGATAAAATAAAGATGTATTCAGATATGCCTCAAAAAAACATTAATTTCCCATGACCCCTTTAAACGAAGCTCCTAGACAATGTATGCCATCAACACATCCTCTTCGTAAGAAGTAAGGTTTCTCTTGGGAATTAAAAACTGATCTCCTGCATGTTGTTAAATCAACAGAGCAGCCATCAATTACAGAAACACAAAATGCTGGAGTGAAATTTCACAGGTAAGGCTAAACAATCAGTAAAAACTCATTAAGGAAGCAGAGGCATTGAAAACTTAGGGATTTCACTATGAAGGCCCACTCAGACAGCCTTTTAAACTTTCCCACTAGGAAAATGTTTGGTTTCATTAAAGCCTATTTCTCTAAGAAATGCACACAAGTTCCCACTCACGTACACCTCGATAAACCTGGGGGGTTCACAGCAAAAGTGTGATCACCTACATATATCAGCACAGTACTCAACCAGCTGAGCACTGCCATGAATGAAAAACTTACCCCACTTTTTAGAGTTCACTATTGACTTCACCTTTAAGGAGTCACACTAATAAGGAAACTCATCACATATGGTAAAAGCTATACTGTATATAAAACTTGCTTATTGTTTTATAAGTCATAATATTCTCTTTTGCCTATTTTTCACTAACCTTATTTTAGAGTCATTTTAGAGGGATTACCTAAGAAAAATTAAATGTGAAGATAAAGTTCTTTTATTTTCACCTAAAAGCATCACTCCTGATACCAGCATCTTTCAAATGCTGATTTGGTTTTGCCCCTAACTTCCCTCACAACAAAATCACAAACCTTTTATCCACTGACAGAGTCATAATCACCTGAAAGTTCTCTAAATGCCCCTAAAAATCAACACCAATCAACCAATTTATATTGGTTTTCATATTATGCTCTACCATGTCCAGTACGCCTGGCCCCAAAAACCTTATCAGAAGTTAAGGTGGTAGTGTTTGAACAATAAAAACAAATTCACGAAAAACCAGCTTAAAACCATGCTTTTAGAAGAACACTTCGAAGTCTAAATTAATATCCATTATAAATACAAGAAATGTAAATAACCCAGGAGAGGGCTTTTCTAAATCACAGTGACTCTTAACTAGCTTTTGTTTCATCTGCTTTGTAAACGGTGTGCATGAATACACACACTATCTGACAGCTTGAATCCCATGTACTGCTTCTTTTCACAGGAGTCCTGTATCCATTTATCACTTCCTATCATTTCCTACAAAAATCAAAGTTAACATCTACCTAAAATTAGGTTGTCTGAAACAGGAGTGTTACTGAGGCATTAGCTTAGATCCAGCCCAGCAGCTATTCCCAGAGTAAGTAAGGCAAAGGGTGATGGGTAATTTCACCAAATGCAAGAACCCTAACCCCTTTCTGCATCCTGTACTCATGCTATAAGGAATCCCATTTGTTACTTCCTACTCTCACCAATGGTCCTTCCTGGCACCCTTGTGTTCTAGAGTATCAACAGTGCTTATTGCCACCCCCCATCCCCCACTGACCCCATGCCAGAAAGAAAAAGTATATACGCACCTTAAAATCTGTATTATTGATATATTCAAATACCAAAGCTGGTGTCTTTGACTGCAAGAGAGAATATTAATGCTTTATAAGTATTTAAACAATAAATGTAATTTACTTCTGTCTTACTGGTCCATTCCCAAACCCCATTTAGATGAAAAAGAGATTCACTCATGAGGAAGAGCCTATTAAGAAAGTACCCTCTTAAAAGTTTATGTCTGGAATTTGCAGGGAAGTGGGTGGGGTACAGACGAAACAAAGTTGGCAACAAGCTGATTAACTGCTAACGTTAGGTGATGTGTGCAGGGAGGTTCATTCTATTATTCACTTTACTTTTGTAATGGTTGAAATCTTTCATAATAAAGTTTTTTTTTTCCTTTTAAAGAGATGTATTCCCTGACCAACCTGTCAGTGGGCCTGGCACATTATGTGAATATTTACAGTCTGCAGTGTTCCAGTTTGCCAACTACAAAAAGAGTGACATGTTTTCATCTCGGTTTTGCAAGCCAGATGCATTTTACAGAATTATCATAAGTATGGGTATCTATCATAGGTCTTTTCAGGATCCAAAAGGAAGACAGGAACATGGAAACCATTGATATAGCTAGGAAGCAGGTGAAAGGTACCTAGTACCATTAGCTATAACGTGAAATTATTCCCGTGGCTAGAGACCACTAGAGAGTATCTTGCTTTACAAAGTAGATATGTTCCCAAAAAATCATATATAATCAAGTATTTTTAAAGCACTATAATCTTGAATGCAATGAGTACGAAATGTTCAATATTTCCTTGTATAAATACAGATTTCCAAATGTCAGGTTTACTTAAGTAAGGTACAATAATGCTAACCGGCATTTTCAAATGTTTTCAAAATTGGGAGAAAAGCAGGGGCTTAAAGGGTTATACAAAGAAAAATATCATACTGGAAATCTTTTTTATTTTTTTCATCTTGGAAATCTTTATGGCGGGAAGTTTTGCTCAAGGAAGCAGGTGAAAGTTACCTAGAAAATAGGCCACAGTGCACGCACACAGGTTCCTGCCAGAACAAGCAGCAGTCCTGGTCAAAGGATTCCTCACTAGCCCAAAATTATGAGGGTTTTATCAAGACCAGGTATCTCTACAGGCTGGGAGCAAGCCTGTTCCCCTACAACTCAGGGGATGAGGAGCCCCTGTTGGTTTATGTCCACTTTGATTTACGTTTGTTACATATCACGTAAAACACACACATGCTTAAGTAACAACTACAAAAATAGTAAGACGGGTATCACTAAATTCTGTTTAAAAAAAAAAACAAGGCAAAATGAAGATGTTCCTCGTATAATACTACATACTGGCTCACACTACAAGCCATTTTCAAAGATTACATAGTCCAGAGTTAGTCACTGTAAAATCAATCTAGGCCGACCAGGCTGGGATATATTTTTAATGCCAATTAGATAGAATCTAGCATACAATCATCCTTCTCAGTCTTTCCAGGGTCCAAAAGGAAAAACTTGCCTTATTCTTCAGTTCAACAAAACTGTAATCCTGGACAAATTATTTAACCTGCAGAGACTTCAGTTTTCTTATCTGTACAATGTGACAATGTGGACAACAACGGTACCTACCCTACTAGACTGGTGTGAAGATTAGACGACATGATACAGTTACACACTCAGAACAGTGCTCGGCACACAGTAAGCATTCAATGCATGTTAGCTACTACATGATGATGATGTCTTTAGCAGACAGAAGCGAAAATCTACTTAAACAAAAAGCTATCATGAGAGAACAGTGAAATATTTGAGGTAGAACAGGCAAAGAACAGAAATGGGATGGGATGTGGTACAAAAATGGCACAAAAAACCTTAGCTAACCATAAACACTTAAGTTAAGGTTAAGTTACTCCCCAGCGAGAGAAAACAACAAACAGTACATCTAAAATGGCTAAAGATTAAGCACTTTTTAACAAAAAATATTTTAGTTGTATCTGCATATACAACATGAGCCCTAACGATGGATGCTGAATTAAAGACTAGTATGAGAAATGGCAAGATGGCCTCCTCAAGGGGTCCGTGGGGCTGTGATCTGCTCAGCTCTCTATGCTGGGAGTCCACATGGAGATATTCAATATTTCCTTCTGTAAACCCAGATTTTCAAATGTCAGGCTTACTTAAGGGAGGTACAATAATGCTAATTGGCAGTAATAAGCTGTCAAAATTGGGAGAAAAGCAGAGGCTTAAAGGAGATATTCAGCAAACGTTTGTGGGCTGAATCAAAATAAGGAGGTAATAACCCTGGGACAGGGATTTTTCTACACACACTCTTAGGTTCCATAGAAGTGGTGGTGACTATTTTATCACTGGGCCACCGCGATTTCTTCTGGTTTTCAAAACCATTTGGTAGTAAAGACTAACCATCATCCCCACTATATAATGAAGTTTCTCATTATTTTTAGGTTCTGTGTGTCACACACACACACAGAGACACTCATTATTATCTCTCTCTCCCCCAACCATCAGGCACCTACCACAGGGTCCTTCACAGTGTCAATCAGCTTAATGATATTTGTTCCACCACGAAGGTTCTCCAGAATCTTAACCTCTCGTTTTATCTTCTTTTTCTTCACTGGCTTAAATACACAAGAGTAATCAGAAGTGAGACTCTTTTTGAAGTTAATAAATAAAACTTTAAAACAATGTTAGCTACTCAAATGTATATTGCACTATCTTGCACACCGTGTTACGTTAAAGAGCATGTCTAAATTAGAAGAGGAAAAAAAAAATCAAGATAAAATGGGCCTACCCATAAGAACTTTTAAGATTGAGTTAAATAATTTACAGGCTCATATAGCTTATGTGTCAGATCTTTAAGTAGTTACATTTAAGGCATAAAAATTTTGAACACCCATGTCATACTTTAAAAATAAAATGCTTACTAGATAACTGCCAAATGGAAAATGTTATAGCTGTGAACAGCTGTACATCATGCACTCACAAATGGAAAAACTGAAACAAAATGGTGAGACACCTGCTCTTCCCATGAGTTACATGCAATTTTGTCTTCCAGGAGTGAAGACCAGTTCACTGACATCAAGTTACAAACTTGTTTCCCAGCTGCTGGCTCCTATTTCCTGTCACCACTCCCATTTCCTTAATATCTACAATCTGAAATCAGCAGAGTCAGTAAAACTTCCCAACAGATCCTATTCCTAAAGAAAGAGATGGCTGGGGGCCAGCCCAGCGGCGTGGTGGTGAAGTTCGCGCGTTCCGCTTTGGCAGCCCGGGGTTTGCGGGTTCAGATCCTGGGAGCGGACCTACTCACTGCTCATCAAGCCATGCTGTGGCAACACCCCACACAGAAGAACCAGAAGGACCTACAACTAGGATATACAACTGTGTACTGGGGCTTTGGGGAGGAAAAAGAAAAATGAGCAAGACGGGCAACAGATGTGAGCTCAGGGCCAATCTCCTCCCCACGCCCCCCCACCCCACTCCCCAGCCCAAAACCCCAGAAATGCTAAAAACAACAAAAAAAGAAAGACATGATGGTCAGCAAAGGAGAAAACTGATCTCTGATATACCAGTGACTGAAAACCTCTGCCACCTGCTAACCCTTCAATCTGCTGGAGAGAAAAAGCATAGACCTTAATGAGAAATACTATCATTACACATATTATTTCTTGTTGTAAATGGGCTAAAGAGTTTGAAGAAGAATGAAAGTCGTTCTGGAAAAACAGGCATATCCCAATCAGTTCTGTTTCATAAAGTACTTAGAACAGTGACTGACACATAGTAAGAACTCACATGTTAGTTTTATTATTTTCAAGTTTTTAGTTAGTAATAAATCATATTTCATCCTCACAAAATTCCTATGTAGTAGACTCAACCAAGTTGAGCCATTTGCGCAAGGTCACACAGCTAATAGTAAAGAGTCATACACAGTAAAGAGTCAGGGCAGGATTCAAATCTAGACAGTCTGACTCTGCAGGCCTCTCTCAGCCATTACGCTTTCATTTCCCAGGTGTGGCTATGGAAGAAACATAACTACGGAAAAGGAGTATTCTACCACTGAGACACTTTACAATAGCACAGGCAAAGAGTCCAATGGATTTGCCATGAAACAAGATTCAAACAGCCTGTGTATACGTGGTGGTGGGAGGAGGAGGGAGATATAACATATCCATATGCCAGAGAAACCTTCATCTTTTTTTGGCCACTAAGCTACAGCTTTGAACACACAATAAAACGGAGAGGGACAAGATTATGAAACACAGAGCACCTGCATCACCTATAACAGGGTGCGCAGTTGAGACTAGAATCTAGCTGCATTCTTCCAAGTCAGCGGCCACAATCCCGCCACTCCACTTCGTCAGGGTGCCCAGTAGAGCAGATCTGGCTACCGTGTCTCTTCCCCATCTTCACTTAGGAATCGTACTCCTTATTCTCCTTTTCGTAATTAGGGCGCTCAATACTTTCGGAAAACGAAGTACAACTTGATCAAAAAAACAGCCAGAAAAGGATATGCTACAAAATAAGTAGCCTGTAAGCTTCAAAAATGTCATGAAATACACAGACTGAACTGAAATACACAGACAGAATAAGCTTTCAATGTCATGAAATACACAGACTGAACAACTGTTCCAGATTAAAAAGATACGACGACTGAATGTAACCCATGATCTGGGATTTTCTTTTGCTATAAGAAATATTATAAGGACAACTGGCAAATGCAAATGGGGGCTGTAGATTAGCTGACAGAATTATATCAATGTTAATTTCAGATCTTTGATCATGACACTGTGGGGTTATGTAGTCCTTGTTTTTAGGAAATACGCACTAAAGTAGGAATGACTGCAATTAACTCTCAAACACTTCAGAAATGTAAAATAAATATAATTATATATGTACATACAGTCATGTGTCACTTAATGACAGGGATATGTTCTGAGAAATGCATCGTTAAGCGATTTCGATTTCGTTGCTGTGTGAACATCATAGAGCACACTTACACAAACCTAGATGGTACTACTACACTCCTAGGCTATATGGTACTAATCTTATGGGACTGATGTCATCTATGCGGTACACTGTTGACCGAAATGCTGTTATGCGACACATGACCACACACATATACAGTTGGCCCTCCGTATCTGCAGGTTCTACATCTGGGGACTCAACAACTGGGTTATGTAGTACTATGTTTACGTTCTGCAATTGGTTCAATCTGCTGATGTGAAACCTGCTGGAGGGCTGACTAAGGTACTTGAGCATCCGAGGATTTTGGTACACACACGTGTGTGTGTATACATGAGAGAAAAGGATAAAGCAAATGTTAATATTTGAGAAATCTGGGCACAAGATATATAAGGGAATTCTTATAACTTTTCTGTAAGTCTGAAATTATGTCAAAAGGTAAGAGAAAAATAAAAGCTGGCTATCATATCTATAAATTCAACAAATGCTACCAGTATATTCAATGTAAGAAAATTCAAGAGTTGTCATCCCCTACTGGAAAGTAGTTACAAATCTGTGGGAAACAGAAGGGAAAAAAACCACCAAAGCCAGAAGCCTATATACACCAAAAACCCTCCTCCCCACAAGAGTGAACTAGTACAGGGGTAACCCATTACTAAATAAGTTGCTTTCATGACAATGCCCCATATAGCGCCTTGCTTTGCTCTCCTGTTATTCAGCAACAGGTCAGGCAGGCACACTGTTCCCAGATAACCCAGTTAAGATTAAGATATCTTTCATTATGTCTAAAGGTAACATAGAGCAAGTGAAGCATATTTTGCTGCCCAGTGGTCACCTGTCCAACTTCCCAAACTAGAAATTGGGGACACGAGGGAATTCTGAAGTGGCACAATGGAGTCACGCAGCAGCTAGAGTCCTCACATACTGACAAAAACCAAGAGACTAAATGACACTCCCCTCCAAAGCATGGGCACCTATTCCCTACAGGAACCAGGCTATAGGTAACTGCCTTTAGCCTCAAGCTTATCCCTCTGAACCTAGGAGATACTCCAGAAGCTAAAAAACCAATGAGCACCCAGAGAGAGAAAGTCATCATTTTAATTCTATAAATAGAATTAGGATTTATAATGGAGGACCCTTGGCAACTTAAGGAAATTCACAGATCACGAATTTTACAGAAACAAGTACGCTTTGACCCATTATCCCAGTGTTGGCACTCATTTACCACCAGTTACGCAAAGTGGAGAAAATACATACATTTCCATGACAATCTCATCATTTCATCTTGTTGCTACAAAAAGTCTCTCCCACCTAAGGTTCATTTATTCCAATTCAGAGAATATCTGTTTAAAAGATTCTAACTGAATTAGTTTAGCTGTTTTCTAAACCAAAAAAAAAACAAGTTTTTTTTTTGAACTCCAAGTCTAGTAGGTAAAATAGCAAAAAGCTTAAAAAAGAAATTAAAGTATTAAATCAAGTTTCAATAATAAATGAATTTTGGCACACACCTGGATAGAATATTTAAAGGGAAAAAACTTATTTAAAATTTTCTGAGGGAGGGAGGGAGGAAGGAAGAATCTTTCCAGAAGGTTTCTGCTCACATGTTAGAGTCCCAGCTATTCAGAAGAACAGTGTTCAATGTAACCCAAGAATAAAGTACTTCTTCTCCTATTCACCAACATAAAAAAATTTAAAACAAAAGACAAATTTAGCAATGGGCTGCTTGGGAAAACAAAAGTTGATAAAAGTCAGTAATCTGTCCTATTTATTTACTTAGAGTTGATTTTTAAAAAGCCAGATCTGAGAATGATTTCAACTACTGGCATTTAATTCTGACTGAATTGGCAAACTAACATCTACCAAAGGCACAAGAATTATGACCTCAATAAATCCCAGCAAATATTAACAGGTGACGTCCCATTTTAATTTCTTTCCAAGCACAACTGAATTGATAAATTCAAGACAGGCAGGAATACAGCTCAGAATTTTCAAATCTGGGATTCCTTTTATTCTACTACCAAAGCAACAACTGCTCCACTAAGATATAATTTCATCACCTGCAATGAACAATTACAATGAACAACAGTTGCCAGGAACGTAGGATAGAATAAGGAAGAAAGTTCAGACTTGATGATGGCATTTATTTTATTACCTTGATAGTATTTCTAAAATCCACTGCAACTGACCTAAATATAAACATTATCTGAGCAATGTTTTTTCTTCACAGCAATTTTTCTTCTAATCTTTAAAGTCTCATCTTTCCAGTTACATTGTTAACTTCCTGAGGTAACTGTTTATTCTCAGAATTTAAATTTTTTTAAAAAAGCAAGGCATACAGCAGGCCTTTTGAATCTCATCAAGAAAATGATACAGTCCTTTCTATTGTTGGTTTTGCCCTTAAAATCATTCACTTGACCCAATTTGAAATATAGTTACTATAGCCAGATTTTATTACTAAGCGCCAAGCACTGTTTTAGGCACATTTAATCTACGTTTAACAGTACTCTGAGATGAGTACTATTAATGCAATTTTACATGAAGGCATTGAACCAGAGTTTAAATAACTGCTCAAGGTCACGAGCTTCTAGGTGTTGGAATTAACATCTGAATCCAGGCAGTCTACTTGCCGGGCCACACTCAGGAAAGAAAATCATTTTGTAGATTACTAAAACACTATCCTCTACCTACCTACCCATCTATCTATATTTCATTTGATTCTCCCAACAACTCTGTGAGTTAAACAAGAAACGTATACTCATTTTACAGATAAGAAAACAGAGTCAAGTGGGTATAAATGAAGAAGCTAGTTCTAGAACCCAAGTCTTCTGCCCTCCATTTATAGCACTGCTTACATTATACCAATCTGATTATGAGGTGGCAGATCCTAAAACTGGGCTCTAGAAACTATCTGGAGCCATTCTCTACACACAAAAATGGGTACTCTATATCAAGATATTCTTTTCGCAAATGGTTGGTTCACTCTCCAATGAACTTTTTTTTTTTTGAGGAAGATTGACCCTGAGCTAACATCTGCTGCCAATCTTCCTCCTTTTTTCCTTTTTCCTCCCCAAAGCCCCAGTAGATAGTTGTATGTCATAGTTGTACATCCTTCTAGTAGCTCTGTGTGGGACGCCACCTCAGTGGCTTGATGAGCGGTGCATAAGTCCACACCCAGTATCTGAACCAGCAAACCGCAGGCCACTGAAAAGGAACATGTGAACTTAACCACTGCACCACTGGGCCGGCCCCTCCAAGAAACTCTAATATATTAAAGGGATAAAACTGTTAACCTCAAAATCTGGCAAGTGATCATGATGAGATTTGGAAGAACTGTATGGGTTAAAAAAGTGTAAAAACACTGGTTATTGTGGCTTCAAACCAAGAGAGGAAAGCAACATTTCACTTGTGCATTAAACATGCTGCTGTGGATACAAACCAGAGAACCCCTGTCTGGGTCCCTATAGCTCTCTGGGTATTCATCTGTTCCACACTTCAACTAGCAACCCACCAAAGTCAAGTATCTCCTTTCAGAAGAATAACTCCAAAAATCATTAGAAACAAATTAATTTCATTTAAATTCTAGTGAGTGTTTGCCCATCTTTCCAGTATAGTTCAGTACATCAAGAAGTGAAATGTCCAGCAAATGTCCTAACTGTGCTCCTCACATCTACCAAGACTCCATGATAGGGATAGAGGGTCTTAAACCCAGTGTGTCCACTCCCTAACCACGTGACCCTGAACAAACTGCAGGCTCTCTCTGGGTCTTGGTTTATCTATAAAAAAGAGCGTGGGTTCCAATGGTTTCCATTCTCCTATCTTCTCTGATTCTGTTTCACAAAGGTTAACCACACTCTCAATCTCTGACCCCACAAACACAATATTAGAAACAGCACTGACTCGTTCACACACAATTTTTAAAATTTGTATATTTTTTAATGTTAGTAATACTTTAATACTGTTTTAACTACTTTTATACCATGAAACATTTGTAGAAACTAGAAATCACAAAAAAATTTAGAGAAATTAATACTAATGTCTTGCTTCAGGAAGATGACGTCTTGGTACACTGCCTAACAAAGTAAATGGAGGGTAAAAAAACCTACCATCTGAGAAAGTAGAAATAAAGGAGAAAGTACTGTATCAGTATCAGTCTCAGGAGAAAGCATCCTTTTGATACAACGTAAACAGCCACCAGCTCACTGTGAGGTAACTAACAAGGATCTGTAATCGACAGTCATGTCATCCTTCTTTTAACACTATGTCCTGACAGCACAAAATTTAAAAAAAATCTACAAACAAAAAATAAACCCGTACTACCATCATTCTTTGTTTTAGGTTTGAGAATTAATTTCTGGGGAAAAAAATGGATAGACAAGCTCTTTACAAAATAAGACCAGCAACAGGAAGCCTTATACAAGAATTTCCAAGTCACTGTACCATGAGTTCAAAACACTGTATTTGTTTTTTTTTAAAAAGTAGTATTGCTCTTAACTTCTATTTAGGAAATAGCACTGTAATTTGAAGGATCCCAAAGACCCCAAGAAGGGCTGACATCCGCACACAGGTGGTGCTCACAAAATGCTAAAAGTTGTCCAAAATGGCCAAATGCTTTTATTTCTGTGTACATCTTCCTTAGATGTACTACAAAGGAACTGAAAAACTGATTTTTCAGAATCAAAAGATGAACCTTTAGGCACTAAGGTGGCTTTCTGCCCTGCTGTATTAATCCTTACCATTCCCCACCTCTTCTTTTTCTCCTCAAGACAATTTCTGTCAAAAAAGATCTAACCTCCTTATTGATTGGAAAGTTTTAAGATTTCAGCCCCAGAATTTCACTTGAGGATAGGCAGTAAAATTTTGCTCACCAAATTTCTAAATTCCTAAAACCTCTTAATAGCCTCAGTATGTTTTAATCCAAAAAATATTATAAATCTACTGATACCAATTAAATGATATAAAATTGCTCTGTGGTCATTCATCATCCAACCATTCATATATTGGAAAGGATTAATTGGAAATGTCACCGAGTAAAAAGGAAGACAGCGCCTGTCCTTGTGGAATGTATCCTCTGTCTCGGTCACTATGCACACATTAATACCTAAGTTCCTCCCTGCAGCTGAAATATAGTAGGCCTATATGAAGAGGAAGCTTCTTCTAGATTCCTTCAAATTATGAGCAGTTGGTATTCTGTTAAGGACCTAACTTCCTGTGACTAAACACCACAATAGTAGATATTAGTCATAACTTCAACTTATCGGAATAGGGGAGCACAACTTTGGATAAAGACCCTGTTCTTTCTTAAAAAAACAATACTTTTAATCTACTTTAATGCAGCCTGTCAGAACAATGAGAAAACCACAACAGTAACATTAGCAGTTTCTTACCCCGTCCTTCAGATAGGAACCAAATCTGGATAGAAACACCATAGGGCTTTGAAAAACAGAAAATAGTGAGTACGGTTTTCACCAGTGGAAACAAGGTGATTCAGGCTGCACCCTGAAAAGAACTTGTGTCAAAAAGAAACAAGAAACAACACTTTGTTAACTAGAGCATGAGAGGGGCCTCCCAAGCCTTATTCCACAGCACTGGAACTTATTCCGTGCTCAACATTAAGATCCAATGCTAAAATGAGCAGGAAGCGCCAGGAAGAAATAGCAAACAGGAGTTCTGGCTAGGGGTCATTGCAATATAGTGATTTTAGCTAAGTCTCTTCATGCTTGGGTTTCTCTTTTGTAAAAATAACCTTCAGCTTCCATTATGGGTTCCCTAAACATATCCTGCAAATCTTTAGAGCAGAGGAAACACTATCCAGCAACTGACCCTATGAAGTTCTCTAGAAGGATAAGTAAAGAGCAACACAAAGCTTTCCTAAATGAACATACTGTTACTTATATGTACACCTGAATGCTGTTCCTTTCAAAAAAGACACCACAGGAAGTTGCAGACTTATTCTAAAAATGCTGCCATGGCACAAAAGTTTAGACATTTTTCTGAATTGCTTTAGAGTCAGCAGTTCATTCTTCTGAATGCACAGCAGTGGAATAAGGATATTCCTAATTTCAATTTATGCCTTGCTTACTGCCTAGAAAGATTTTAAGCAGCTTATATTAAAAACATTTATGCTTATGTATAAAGGAAAAAACTGTATAGCTTCCCCAGGTGACTTCTCTGAAGGAAGCATTTCTTTAAATATTTATGCTTGTAAAGAGAAAAACAAAAGACCATGTGACTTTGTAAGTGCAATTCATATTTAGGGAAGAGGGGAATCAAACTCCACATCTTCAGTATCAATTCCTCACTTCTCACTCTCAGTGTTTCTAACAGCACAAATAACTGCCTATTTCTAATTCAATTCTGCTTCTTCAACACTAGGCTAGGATGGTACTAACAGAGTTGATCACTTTTCCGAAAGGTGATTTTCAGACAATGTAAGTCTGACCCCTCATATTAAACAGCTGCACAGCTGCCCTAACCCTATCCTTAAGACACAAAAACAGCTTTTCAATCCCACATTCTTATTCAGAGCCTCTGCAAAATGGCCACACTGGAAATCTTGTAGATATAAAAGTGCTTATATTAATTACTTTTTGGTTGTCTCGGTATTTCACTAAATGACACGCACACACGTTAAATGATCTGGTAATGATGAAAACCCTTCACAGATGCTAAGAATCACTTTTTAGTACACCCTATAAAACGTTATTAAAGCTACACAATCAGTCACCTGAAGGAGAATTCAGCCAACTCCTCACGCTCATTAAGATCGGGTCTTCACCCAAGAGATGACAAAAGCTGTAGCTTATCAAACTTAGGCTACTAAACCAGACACTAAGACTGCTTTGTTCCAATTACTATTTTAGTGATTCTAAGTGTACTCTTCTACTGCTCCCAATTTCACTTCTACTAGCTGATAAGCAACAATGAACCTTCCTGGCACTACTGGCTCACTACATCCACCTCACCTGAAACTTTTATCACCAAAGGAGAAGAAACAAGTGATTATCCACCAAGGTGTTTCTCTCCACTCAGGCTTCAAACTCATCTTTGAACCTGCTCCAATTTTTTCCGACTTGCTTTCTGGAACAACTGAGAGCACCAAGGGTAACAAACTCAGTGCTCAAGGAGCCCTTGGACTGATGCGATCTTCTTTCTTCTGAATACCTATTTATTTTGGAACAAATGGAGCCCCTCTGGAATTTTCACTTTGGGAGTCCGTAACTACATTTCAAAACAAGGATGGTCCTGAACTATCAAACTCAGATTCGAAACAGGTCTGCATATTTTCTTGAAAGTTCACAGGAAAATGGGGTGGGAGAAGCAATAGCAGAAGGACATGAGACAGAAGATACGTAAAATAAGAGCATGTATTGCTCACTCTAGAATGTGGCTGGGGTCGTTTATCTCCTTCTGACCTGTGGAAAAAAAATTTAATGCCACTCATAAGACACTCACCTTGAGAATTTTTACAACCACTCTCTCATTGTTGGTGATGTTAATGGCCTCAAATACTTCACTATACTTTCCCCGACCAAGTTTTCGAACCAGTTGGTAATCATCTTGATTACTGTGAAAGGCAAGAACGACACATAAATGCCAGGACTTCGGATTAACTAGGCCTATGCCCACTATACACCCCTATCCAGCCGCTTCCATTAATCAAGCACTTGGAAGTGTCTACCCATCACACCACAACTCATTCCCTAAATGAAAGCCACAACACACACTTGGCTGCCTTCACTCTGCTCAGAGCTCCTAACCTAATTGGTCCCTCCTAACTTGGGGAGAGGAGGTAGGAAGACACCACTCCGAGCCAATCTATAGGGATGAGCAAAGCATCCATCCTTGAGGCGCAGAGGGTGCCCCTCTGCCCGGGGCTCCACAGCACCTGTCTTATCCTTCACACCCTCAAGGCAGCCAGGGCCAGCTTCGAGAATCCGGACAGCTTTGAAAAATTTCCTCCCACCCAGCCTCATTTCAAAAGACTAAAAAGGCCGAGAATTGTAATACCTCAAGAAGACAGCTGCTGACTTCCCACCCCAATAGAAACCCAAAAGTGTGAGGAGGAAGAGCTCTCTCACTTCCACCAGGCTCTGGTCCCCGGACCCTACACTTCTCGCCGCTAAGAAAGCATTCCTGGGGACACGGGGGAGGGACGGGGGCGCAAGGCGGGGAGAAAGGGACGAGAAAGGGGGAGAGGAAGATGAGCACATGTGTGGGGGGGGCTCTGCCTCCCACCCCAGACCCGAGGAAGCACGGGCCCAG